ATCTTCGGAGATTAAAAGGCGTAAACTACTGTAGAAGCACTTTAGTATTTTTGTGAAGGCAAGTGTGTACGCACGTTTATATTAATCGACATATCGTGACACATATCGTTGTATCGCGTATGTTGTGCACATACTAGAGTTCAAAAGCAGTTCAACGGGATGGGGTGTATGCTTCCGTAAGCAATAACTGCATTATTTTTACAGACTCAATTTATTCGGGTGCAGTATCCAAAATCCGTCTCAGAGACGCGCGCGCCGTAACGTGTATTCGCGCGAGTATTTTTAAGTCTCCAAAGTAATTTGTGCATTACGCTGAGGACATAAGGTTGAATTAGTGTTGTTTGTAATTGGATTTTCGGAACTCTGCGCTGATATAAATTGACCCTTAGCGTTTTTTCTCTATAACAATTTGTTCATTAATATTGTCTAATTTTATTTTTATTTTCAGAATTATAGCGTACAGCATTGTAGCGTACACCATGTACTTAGTCATCACTGATGCAAAACGAAGACTTGACCTTTTTCTTGCCGACGATAACTCAACTGCTTCTTCTACTACTCCAAAATCGTAAATCGTAATCGTAATCGATTTTGTCATATTATAGGTAAGTATAAACTACCTTCTGCCCACAACTTTATCCGCGTAGAATAGTGACTTTAAAGAGATTTTATGTCATCATCAGTGTCAACAAATTATACCCTACATTACAACAAAAAAGGTTTAAATATAATTTATCCATTAGTTCCGGATCTAAGTGAGTGCAAACGGACGAACATACAAACAGGATGTGTGTAGTTTCAGTTTTTACAGACATAGTTTTACATGCAGGCATAGATGTGATAAAATTATAAAGCAAATAATAAAATAAAAATGTAAAAAATATTTATAAATATCAATAGTATAATAGGACCGCATGTTCAGTTTGAATTTAAAAGAAACAAAGTATGACAAGTTCTATAAATTCATAATTATAATATGTGTATACATAATTAATATGTACACGCTATTAGAAACTAAGGAAAAGTATATGTGTGTGCGTAAGCTAAGTGTGTGTGAATGTGCCAAGTGTATGAGTGATGTGTGTGAGGGTGTGTGTGTGTTGCAATTGAGAAAATTGAGTGAAGGGTATAAATAAAGAAGAATGATCATTTAATTATCGTTAATTTTTATTATTTAAAACAGGCGTTACGTCAAATCAACAACAAAATGTATTGTATTGTACAATTGTACAAGTCATGCCATAAAATTAATATTGTTCCCTTAAGTACCGATTGAACACTAATAAATTACTATAACTATCATTAATTCTGTGATGATACATTACAATTATTATATGTATAATATAATATATTCGATGCACTCTTATAAATTTTACATAATTGTATCTACATTTGTGCGTTACTACGTATTAAAATGTACAATAGGGTAGATGCCTAATTTTTATTGTAATATCTGTCTGGTAGATTATTTTAAATCATTAGATACGTATTTTTTATTTTCTTACAGAAACGAATACTTTCGACGATATATTGATTTGAAATGTCGTGTGACGTCACTCCTAAGTACATTTTATACGTAGAAATGACGTTTTAGCCCCACTCCTATTTTATCTAAGTATTGTTTTATTATACGACAAAATAAAAAAATACGTGTCTAATATTTTTTCATTACCTAACTTACGGACTAATTAGTTTTTTAATTTTTATACCATTGCATCATCCCAATTACATTGATGGTAAACTCCATGGCCTTATTTTAAAAAATAAAAACACAACACAAAACAATTACACAATATACAAGGTGCAACCGAACGACACCGAAAACGAAGATAAAAAATATTGTTTTTACAATTTTAATAGTGTTTGTTTTTGTGTCATTCATGTAACATCTACCTTGAGCATTTGATTACAAGTATCTACCTCTATTATTATAAAAAAGGAACATTTAACCTCTGGTATGTTGGAGTGTAGATACACGAGACATTTAAGTGTGGGAGAGCCATGCTTCGGCGCGAATGGGCCGTCTTGACCGGAGTGATACCACGGCCTCACAAAAGATCGACGTCAAACAACGCTTGCGTTGTGTCTTCGCGTGATTGAGGTTACCGGAGGCCCAATTATTCCTCCGCCTTTTCTCAATCCCTGATTACCCAACAATCCTCAAATTCCTAGCCCCAAAAGGCCAGTAACGCACTTGTAACGCCTCTAGTATTCCAGGTGTCCATGGGCGACGCCGATTGCTTATCATCAGATGATCCATATGCTCGTTTACCGGCTTATCCCATAAAAAAATAAAGCGTTTTCTATTGTGTCTCACATATCGACAGAAAAGAGGTAAATTCCCTATTTTTTTTTAATTTTACTCGTTTTTTACCATCTTCGTATTTTGGTAGCGTGCCGAATACACCCTATATATTGAAACATTTACCATTATTATATTTACGCTATTTTGCAACCTCTTATTTAGCTTGCAGGGTACGATCAAAAGTCAAAAGTCCACTGCCACCGTAAGACTACTATCGGTGGCGCTGCAGCGCTTATACCTCTACACACATGCACACGCATATTTTTATCCGTGTGCGTACGCGTACCTACGTGTGTTTATGCGCAGGCACGCGTTGCCGTGTGAACATCACTCACGGTGGCAGTGGACTTTTGACCTTTGACTGTACATATGTATGTCTGTGAACTGGAATCTTGCAAACAACATTTTTAAGCAGATATCTTGCCGTCTTAAGCTGATATTTTGTATACCTACTCGTTTAGTTTGCATGACTTTAAAAATGCTTGGCTGTCAACTCAAATGATGTAAAAGTTTGTTGAGAGATAGGTAGTATATCTAAGTATCTCGCAATTATTAGTCATTACGTTACTATTTATGTTTGTAATATATTGTATTTGTATATTAATTTCAGCTACCATTGATTAATATTATAAACTATTGATTAAATATAACCTACATCTACACTATGATATTATAAAAAGGAAATATTTGATATTTTGTTTGTTTGAATTGAATAGGCTTCGAAACTAATAGACCGATTAGAAAACATATTTTTCCGTTGGAATTCTACATAATGGAATCATGAATAAACCTTAAGTGAAATTTACCACTACTAGCGCAGTACAATTTCTTTGGTATCTTTTTAAATAAATTGGAGAATTTATTAAGAACACTTGGTTCGTTAAAAACGAAACCAAACTAAAGCAGTTGGCTAAGAATTTATGATTCCATAATACTGAAGCACTATTCAGAATAACGTAAGCAAAAATACAGACGAAAAAATAAAGAATTGTAGCAACAAGAGTCAAAAGACTGGCACAGGGTGTAGTATTTTGTGGATTACACATAAGTCATTTTAATTTAAAAACTATATGACTTGTATTTTATTTTATATTTTTCTGATAACTGTTGGAACCATGCCGATCATCTGGTGCCATTTGATCATCGACTTCAGGGATACCCTGTATTTATTTGTATTGATGCATTTAAATGTATATTTAAATGAATAAAAATAAATAGTATTGTTATTCAATTATTGTTATAAACTATAATTGTTATTTAATAAAAAATGTATCACTATAGTAGTTTCATATTATTATCATCAAAAAGGAATAAATGTTTGTTGTGAAGTAATACTTTCATTTTTCTACTCTAAAACAATAGAATACAATTAGACGTTCAGTTTGTCGTAACATTTAAGTACTCTTTATAATAGAAGTAACAGAATTATGAGTAGGTGAAATAATTAATAATGTAGGTACGCCTTTTTATCACATTGAAATACACAAGCAACATAGAAATACACTATACATATATTTGTGTAATATACAAATTGTGATTTGATGTCCAGGTACAATGAGTAGTACTCGTTGAGTGCCTATGACATTCTCGACTTCAGATACCAAGCACGAATAACTATCGCAATCGTAACGTAATAGTATCGAGCGCGTTAGGCGCTCTGATTGGTTGGTTTACTGGAGCCGGCCAATCAGAGCGCCGAACGCACTGGATACGAACGTAATACGTTACTATTGCGATAGTTATTCGTGCTTGGTACTCAGAGCAAGTACGGTAATTAAACAAAAAAAAAAAATGAAAATAAAATACAAAGAAGATGTGATGTATCAATTGTACCTACGCAATGTCGTTACCGCATTTTTTTCTCTTAATAGTTAAATTAATTTTTATACTACGACCAATTTTACAATCGATATTATTGAAACCATGAAACAAATCGTTCGTCTTCTAATTCACTTTTTCGAATAATATTTTTTTTTTGTTGTGAATTAAAAATCAATACATTCTCGTTTTATACATCATGAGTGCAATACAGATTTGTCACATTAACGCTCAAATACTCAAAGGCTACTTAAATTTAGGTTGAAAATACTTAAATATCGTGCCATCTCTGTCATTTTACAAAGAATTTGTAGCGACAGGACTATGCTTAGCGACTCAAAATTGAGTTTTTGGAAATAAGAAAACTATGAATAATAATTATCTCTTAGCGTAGCGTAACTATTATTACGTAGCATGACATAAAACGTTAACGCCATTAGTATAATATGCGCAACAGCATTATATTACATTATATATATTATAAAAAAGTGGTTTTGACTTTGACTTTACTTATGTGTTACAAAATGTATAAAAGATTCACAATCTAAACTCCTACTACATATTTGTAGGTTATGTCCAAATACTCAAACACCACTTAAATTTTTTGTCGCATTTAAGTATAGTTCTGTCTCAACAAATTCTTTGTAAAATGACAGAGATGGCATGATATGTATATACAACTTAAAATGGAGTAACCATTCAGTATTCGAGCGTTATACATAGAAACTAGATCTAAAGAGACACGTGATGTGTGATTTCAAATTGATGAAAACATTTTTTATTTTTACACTAGAATTCTAATTATGCTACATATTAATAAATAAATAAACTCTGTTTTCGACAATATAGGAAGGAAATTACCCATCCTAGGCAAAATTTATTTCTTTATGGAATTACTCTTGCTTTTTGGATATAGCCCATCCATTCCTTTTCCAAATGGTGTTTGAGAGTTCGTTGTTAAGTAATAAGATCCTTCGGCTCTGAAATAAAACAAAAAAAATAAGTTTATGTGCCTCGTTGGTTGACTGGTTGCAAGTGCGACTGTGAGGCAAGGGGTCTTGGGTTCAATTCTCAGGTAGAGCAAAGTATTATTGGGTTTATAAAAAAAAACCCAGTAGTAGCACGGAGTCTGGAATTTTGTCTGGTATATGGCAATAGGCTCACCCCCTATTACATGGGACTCATAATATAAATAGTGAAATGTTAGTGTCACATTGTACAGTGGCATAATGTGCACTGTGTCTACCCCTTCGAGGACAACAGGTGTGATGTTATGTTATGTTAAATTGCAGCTGTACAGTCGCATTAAGTGCCATAATGTGCAGCTCTGCCTACCCTCTTAGGGATAAAAGGGGTGATGTAATGTTTATGTGGGTAAGTCATGCTTCGGTACGAGCAGGCCGACTTGTCCAAAGTGATATCACGGCATCATAGAAAATAAGCGTGAAACAGAGCTTGCGTGTTTCACCTTATGCGTGCATTTGTCAAGAAAAGAAGATCTAATCTTATCACCCAAGGCCAACGACTCACTAGTAGCCTTTCGTGTTGCGAGTATCCACGAATGGTGCTGATTGTTTATCGTCGGATGATTTATTAACCCGTTTGTTGATCTATCCCAAAAAAATCTTCACGAACTAAAATATAGGCCGTCTGCGTTAGAAATAATAACTCTTTTGTAATCTTATTTTTATAAAACCGAGTTCAAACCCCACTTATTAACCCTTTGAGTACCGTCACTATAGACACAATTAAAGAACAATAGGTAGCGGTCACCGGTGTCCTCTCGGTGTTTGACAGTTACTTTTAAAGTCGGTTAACTACTAAAACCTTCTCATATAATGAATACTTTTCTGAAAACCGCACCAAAATCGGTTCAGCCAGTCGCGAGATAATCGCACATAGATAACAAACACACATACATGTCAAAATGAGAACCACATTCTTTTTGAAGTCAGTTAAAAAGCGTTCTGCTTAAGAGGAAATTCATATATAGGTACACACATATACCTCTAGAATCAATTTGTTGCCTTACTTTTCCTTAACATTTAGGTCACTGAGATTGCGTACACCAAACGTATGCAGTGGATCGTGGACGGTCATAAATATTACCATATTCAACGCCTTTGGTATGCAGATTTACGCCTTGTTAAACTTCCGACGCATATAAATTGTATATTACGTTTAGTAAAGGTACTAATAAAATATTACATGGGAACACATGGTTACTTGAGTTTTAATTTCACTAGGTTTAACGAGTTAGCAACTTTTATATATTCACATAAGCAGATAGAGGTAGTATTAATACCATGTAGTACGTAGTTAGCCATTTATGTTTGGTTTCTCTTATAATTGTATGCTGTTACAATATGAAATGAAACATTCATTCAGAAAACAGAAAAGCGACCACGTGTCTAATATAATTGCCATATTTCTTTTATTTTATTTTTAAAATTGATGGGCTGACGTTTGGCCACTATATCGCCTGGTGGTAAGCGATGATGCGGCCTACGATGAAGCTCGTCGGCCCATAAGCAACCTATTCGCTCGGGCCTTGAAGACAGGTTAGCTTCAGAAAACACAGACTCTGGCAAAAAATGCCACTCCTTAACAAAACCGTTATTTTGCGATAAGAACTGTAATAAAAAATAAGTTTCACCATCAACTTACTTATTATCACAGCTATAACCCATGTACACCATTCCTTCTTCAGGGTTCGGGTTTTCTCTGAATTTATGGTAAGATTCGGCAGGAGAGGCGGGGAATGCTTCAGGATTTCTCACTGATTCTGCGAAAAACCGCCATGATCTCCAATGGCTGCACAGATCTGGAAAAATTAAAGAAATGTAAATGAACTAATATCATAGTACTTGAATCATGTACATATATACAGACAATTATTGCGTCCCGCAATTGTGTTATGATTTTAGGATTAATGCGGATTAAATGTGCTTTACGATAGATTATAAAATGAAGGGAAAATTTGCGCTCTGTCAGAGATGTGAACAATGGCGTGTGTTTAGAATCAGGAATTAGATGGATTTGATGAAATTGGTGAAACGGGTGGTATGCAATCCGGTATAGATACTATATATAAATTGGTTGGTATGTATGCCGGTGGTCAAGAGTGCATCAACATTCAGAACAAATTCATAAATTGAGGCTGAATGACGACTTGCAGAATATAGAGCCAATATGTGCTATAAGAATAAATATGATATTAAAAAGAAATAACGATGGACAGAGGGACCGCGTAGTTAATAAAATATAGTGAAATTGCGTAAAAAATGAAATAGGTACATGGAAGTAGGAAATGTACGATGATTATCAAAACAACGACAGACGAAAATTATAGGTTTAAGGGGTGTAAGTTGATATGTGCTAACCCAATAAATGTGCAATTATGGTCTTACTCTATACAAAAATTACCATAATATAGTAATCAAGTGTTAGAGGTATATTTGAGATTTTTCCCGCTGAAACCCTACATTAAATTCATAAGCGAATAGCATTAGACGGGCACAGAGATCTTACCCAATACCAATACCAATATGACAATAAATTACAAAATTCTACATACTATCAGCTTTCAGCTTAGCTTTTTTCCGACAACGAAAGGCTCGTCTCCCAGTGTTACCAGATGAAGCTGAATATTATTTATAATTTAATTTTAATGTCAATTTCTAATGTAAAACATAGGAAAGTTATACTTTAAACAAAAAATGGGGTTATTTTACAGTAATAATATATAACACAGATGAAATGTTAAAAACTTATAAAAGCAAGAATGTTTCGCATTTACAGATGTACAACACATATGTAGTACCTTTAATAAATCGCAAGCGCCAGTACTGTCCAATATTATTATTCCAAATTAATATAATCACCGACATTGTTCTTATTGAAAAAAATAGATACTAAGCATAAATTATCAATGATATTCCGAATGTTTTTTGGAAATGCAAAGAAAAGCTTATAATTTTCCATCAAAAACTTACTATCATCGGAGAGAGGTATGGGGGCAAATCGAGGGCAACCAGGCTGTATGCTTTTGCCACCGTTCGGCCAAAAGTCAGCCGTTCCAGTTCGTACCGGTGCGCCATATCCACCAGCGTCCGTATGTATTACATCGACGAAGTCTGCGTCCTTCGCGTTCACGTGTTCCATCACCACGCCATCAGGATAGAACGCTGGAAAAGCGGGATCGAGGGCTGTTAATCTGAAATGTTTGTTGACTATGTTAATTTATTAATTATGAGTATAATAAACGTTTGTATCATTTTATGTAAAGCGTTTGACAGTATTTGCCGTAGAATATTACTAGTAAAATTGGAATCTTATGACGGGTACACTCTCTAGTAGATGATTGAAATCTAGATTTATAAAGCAAAAAACTGTAGGTATGAAATAATAAGTTTTAAAGTCTAAAACATAATTAGTTGAGGCTGGAATTCCTCAGTGTTCTCATTTAGGTCCTTGGTTATTTCGAATAAATATTTCACTTATATATACTACATGAATGCAACTACGTTTAGTTTTATTAGATTTATATTACTAAAATTTGTTTTTAAGAATGACAAAAAATAGACGTTATTTGCTGTATAACATTCAGTCGAATTTGGTTGATATTTGAATTTAAAGTAATTACAGCACCTATCAATTATAGTAGACTTATTCTTTGTAACATGTATTAACATCACTACTTTAGAAAGTAAGATGGCTTCTCACTATATTGTACTATATAAGATTATTTATTTATTTATTTTTTCGGCGGCACGGAGCGCGCTGTCTATATACACGACCTGCATGCTTACAGTATGACATATGTCATACTGTAAGCATGCAGGTCGTGTGCGCTGTACGTAACGTAATCAAAATAAAGTAAATTAAAACCAATCCGAGACTAAATCATTAATCAACAAATATAACATGGTGTCAGAAGAGGTATCCGAATCCACGCCCTCATAAAGGTTCATTGTTGAATTTTGTTTAATGTTCATTTTATTTTGATAAGTTCAAGAACTTTACTATTAACTGATACTTAAGTACCTTTTGATAGTTTTGTTGTATTTGGTCTTCAGTTCTCTTGCAGTGTATCCTGCCACGTGGCTACCCAATGAGTGTCCAATCACGTGGAATTTGTCTAAGAGAAGTCCTGAGTCGACTAACTTATTCAACTGTTCTGCTGCAGCTGTACCAACCTGGAATCAGAAACGAATATGCTGTTATAAATCTAAAGGAGGTAGAATTGTACCTTCCTGCATTGTTTTTTGTGCTCAATGAAAAAAAATTTATATAGGCCGGGAAGCATTGAACTTTTTGTTAATTTTTTTGGTATCGGTATTATTATATGAATTGGTGGTAAGTTAGCATAACAATATAAAAAGTTAAATATTTAAGCATTCATTAAAAAAATATGTCCATCTATTATTTGCAAATTTTATGCAACATGGCAAATGCAAAAGTCTATAATATTTATGATATTAAATATATAAACATAACACTTGTATGATCCATAATATAAAATGTTAATTTCGACCTTGAAAATTATTCGCTTAATAAGAAGTATGCGTGGGCCTTTTTATTAGCTTTTTAGATAAAACCTTACCTTTTTGGTGTTTCTAGCGGCATTGAAAAAGTATGATCCATGCGCCATATTGGACCAGTCTAGTAATATAACATTTGTACCCGGCCTTGCCTCCAAATACGCGTTCACCATGACCTGAAGATGAAAAATGTAAACTTTTGTAAAATCTCTACAATCTTGTTATAAGGGGATTGTTAGTTTGAACGTGCTGATCTCTGGAACTACTGATTTGATTCTGAAATTTTATTTTGTTTGGATAGTCAATTTGTTGAAGAAGCTAAGCAACGGGTGAGGTTTACATTTATTGATTGAAGCTATTTTCTTTTATTTATTTATAGAATATAACTTTTTAGGAATTAATTTGTTCTCAAAACGATTACTGATTTTTTGTACAGCGGCCTGTAGATTTAAAAACAATCCTTACTAATATTATAAATCGGAAAGTGAGTTTGTTTGTTTGTTCCGATTTCACGCCGTAACTACTAAACCGATTGCTTTGAATTTTTGCAGACGTAAAGTTAGAAGTCCGGATTAAATAATAGGGTACTTTTTAACCCGGAAAATAAATAAATAAATATTCCCGAGGAAAAACAAAAGTATTGGTAAAGATGACGCTGTATGTATTGGTATATGTCACATTTATAGGCTACTTTTTATCCTTTTGTGACGCGAGTGAAGCCGCGGGTAAAAGCTAGTAGATCATAATTTTGAACACAATATGCAACGAAACGTAATAGATATTTACAATTATAGTTAAATTGTAGCTGTAATATGGTTCCGTTTGTTGAGGTATCTGTGTTGACCTTATTTAACACTTAAAGACTCGACGACCAATGAAAACCTGTTTGGCTGTCAATTATATTAAGTTAAAATTTCCATTGGTTACAATTAATGTGAAGCGAAACCGCTATTATTTGACCTTGAGTAAACTAATTATTTATAAACACATGCTGACAGAAAGATAAGTTAGAAGTTACATTTAAAATATTTACCTATGTGCAAAAATTAGTTTGTTTAGTATATCTAAGATACATACATATACATATACTATATAAAAATAATTTGGGTTGTCTTTCCTGACGCTATAACTGCAGAACGCACGAACCGATTTCCACGGTTTTGCATTCGTTGGAAAGGTCTCGGGCTCCATGAGGTTTATAGCAAAGTATGTTACATAAAACGAAGTCGTCTGGTGGCAAAACGGAGTTCGCCGGGTTTTCTAGTAATGTATATAATCAAAAGATTATCTAGTTACTAGATAATCCAAGGTTACGGATGACCTCGGGTTACCGGGGCCCGGGTTCTAAGCAAGAGTAGGAATGATGTAGTTTTTAGTTGGTAAGAGGCTCCTCGCCTAGAAGTAATCTTTCGTCTCACCTTATGCAGCAGAAGTCAATTGGGATGATGACAGGGTATGAAATTTAAAAATCTAATTAGTCCGTAAGATAGGTAATGAAAAAATATTAGACACGTATTTTTTATGTTGTCGTATAATGAAACAATACTTAGATAAATTGAATCAATGTTTAGGAGTGGAGGCTAAAACGTCATTTCCACGTATAAAATGTACATAGAAGTGACGTCACGCGACATTTCAAATCAATATATCGTCGAAAGTATTCGTTTTTGTAAGAAAATAAAAAATACGTGTGTAATGTTTTAAAATAATCCACCAGACGGACGTTAAAATAAAAATTACGCATCTACCCTATTGATGATTCCCCTCCTTACTCATAAAAAAGGTTATCTACTAAATACCAATATTATCTATTTAAAGTTATACTTCTATACTAAATATTACGCGTATTTACACGACGTGGTTTATGGTGTGCCATTATATGTAATAATATTTACAAATGTCAAATCATGGTCATCAATCCTTTTCCCATATTTGTGCAATGGAGTAAGAGACAGCGTTATGGAAGATAGATGCCGTTCCCTTGAAGGGTTAATGGTGTTGTTGTAGAGATGGGTATGGGAAACTTAATACATATGATAATTATTTTGATGCATACTTGCATAGGTATTTAATATGTGAGTGGAGCCTTTTTATATTTGTTCATATCGTTCTTCTATAAAAAATACAACTGCTAAAAAGTTTCTTTGATGGGTTTATCACCGTAGGTGTAGACAGAGGTGGATATTACGGCACTTAAGGCCACTGTACAATATAACACCCACTTTTCACTCTTTATGTTATAATTCCATGTAATAGGGGGTGAGGCTATTGCATTATATACCGGGCACAATTGCAGACTCCGCGCTACTACTGAGATTTTTTTAAAAACCCTATTAGACTTTGCCCGAGTCGCGGATAACCTAACGGGTTACCGGAGCTCCAGCTCGAACTGCAGGAGAAGGAACGGGGTAGTTTTTAGTCAGTAAGAGTCTGTCTCTTTCCCCCTTAAAAAAAGACTGCCCGACCCAGGAATCGAACCCGAGAACATGACAATGACAGCTTTGTGATGTTGGAATACATCGCTCCTTACCTGGATACTCTCCTGCTGAGCAACTTCAATGAATCCATGGATATAGAAGACAGTGGGATTGTTCTGGTCAAAACCTTTGATTTCGAACAACTTGTTGGCCTGACTGAGAGGAATGTCCACGTAGTCTTCAGCTGTTTGTCTGTGAATATAAAAATGATAATGTCAAATCGAAGTCCATAGGTAATAATTTTGACACAGTCGAAGTCATCATTTTGTCTAATCTTTTAAATTGGCCGTCTGGATTAAAACTAGTTAATTTTATCTATATCCTACAATTATGTCTATTCTACGTATATAACTGGGTTCAATACGGAATATAAAATCACTTATTTGTTCTCGTTATTCTAATTTTCCATGTCATTGCCAACTGACTTTTGATCGCGTGATCAACACCTGTATGCCTTAGGTAGGTACTCCAATAGGCATCTAATTTACCTTCATAATGAACACTAGTTTATGATGCTTTAGTGCTTTTTTATCAATGTAAGGTGGTAGTTATATGGTCAATCATTGTAGGTTAAGCTATGTTGGGTTGAAGTACCGGTCGGTCGGTGACCTTTTTTACTTTTCAGATTTTTTTTTCTTTTTACAATAACTGATTCTCCAGTATAATGTCGTAGACTATACTGCCAGTGTTGAGTGGTGACGGCTGACTTAAATTAATCGTCGAAATTTAACTTTGTGGTAATTTGTTGCTGTTATTTGAATTCAGACCCTTAAAATTAAAATTTTGCGTACATAAATACATAACACCACGCCTTTTATCCTCGATGGGGTAGGCAGAGGTGCACACAGAAGTAACACCCACTTCACTGTTTATGTTATGAGTCCCATATAATAGGGGGTGAGCCTATTGCCATATACCGGGCACATTTCCAGACTCCGTGCTACTACTGAGATTTTTTTTAAAACCCATTAATACTTTGCCCGACCCGGGAATCGAACCCGAGATCCCTTGCCCGGCAGTGGCACTAGCACCAGTCGGCCAACGATGCAGTCAATGTTAAAATTTTGTCACTGAAATATAGATTAGACGATAGAATATCTTGTTTTTTACACTATACATATAGATACACACAACGTTTCTTACCCATTATAATATCTAAGATAAATATCCTCCACTCGATTCGTTCTGTCTGGCAAGATTCCTGTAATAGAAAAAACAAATATTAGATTACCAAAGAAACTTTCAATGGTCTGATTTTCGGTATAGCTGAATTTTTTTAGTGTAAGATTAATAATTTGCACGTCATAGCGTCATGGTCAGTTTACGTCTAAATAATAGCTTCAAAATGCGCGATTTTTTGACAGAATATGTCAACAACCAAACCAAAACCATTATAATTTTATAATAGAAGTGATAATTCATATGCTTATACGTAAAGTGAGTTATAATTCATGCTATAAATATTTAAACGTTTGAAGAACTGGGTATTCCCGGTATTCCCACAATAGTCGCTAATGGTCTAATGAAAACTTCACTACCGGGTGCAATGCTGTCCGCTACTATCTCCGATACACAGAATGAAATTAAAAATAAATAAACAATATTCTTGGAACACATCGTTCACTCTTGCTTTGACCTTTATTTTTAACAGCTTATTACTTCGATAGTGTTTTTAGGCTTGTGTACTAAGAGATTGTAGTACAACTAAATATAATGTGGTCTTCGTTTTCCTTTATACGACATTTTGCAGTAAATTTGAATACAATGGACTGCAGTTTATTAGAATAATATATTTGTCGTTGCATGATTTTGCAATTTATACCAATTTCTAACACGCAATAGCGGTTGGAAAAATACGAATGTCTTTGAATATTGTTTGTTGACCAATGCTGCACATTTTGCAGTTGATTGTAGTCATAAAATAATTGCATATATTTTTGTAATAATTAAGTTGATCAACAATTAATGGATGTAGCTCGAAATGTTTTTAATGCATGCATTTAATGAGATATTATCACTACATAGTATAAAACAAAGTCTATTCGCAGTCTGTCTGTCCCTATGTATGCTTAGATCTTTAAAACTACGCATTTTGATGCGGTTTTTTTTTTTTTTTTTTTTTTTTTTGTTAATCGATAGAGTAATTCTTAAGGTAGGTTTATATGGGGTGCGGTGCCAGAAGACCTCCCCGTGGTGCACCCTGGGTGCGGGCGACAGTCTCCCTAGCGGGGGTGATAGGGTTGGAGTGACTGTCGCCCGCAGCAGACTTCTGGACTGGGCGGGCGAACCCGATAGGGTTCTGGAGGCGGCGGGCTGTGTGCGGAGGCTCATAGCCCGCGCTTCCGAGGGGCGTTTCTCCGCCCGTCTCTCTGGACATAGCAGAGAGCGTGGCGGAGAGGCAATGGCGGTGCTCGTTGTGCACTCACCCTGCCAGCGAGCAGCATCGGGACACAAGCTGTCCCCGATTGCAGCCGTCGATATCGTAATCCGTAAGGAGGTCACGGTCATGTTTTGTGACTCTGAACGGGACGAGGGTCTTGGCTTGGTCGCCCGGACCACGAGGAAGATAACCTCTATAAAAAATTCCTCCAATACTAAGTTCTGGTGCGCGGCGAGAGTATGCATGGCTGAGGAGTAGTGTCAGTCGCGAGCGCACCCCCAGCTAGGGGACCAGTGGACCCTCTAGTTGGGAAACAAATTTTCACTTACCCAGGTACAGGGGGCACTGCCTGGGTGGACCGAATATTTCCCCCATACTCGTGGGAACAACAGGCCATTACGGCGGAGCTCTACAAGCTGGCGATGGGGAAGTCCCAGCCGGTTAGGCTCCGCCTCCTCAGAGCGGCGGCGGCCACAATAACGGAGGCGGCCTTGGAGCAGTGTGCGATGCCCACTGCGGGAAAGGTGCGCTCCGAGCTGGCCGAGATGCGGCGGAGCTGGCGCGCTTGGCGGCCTCCAATGCGGCTCTAGAGGCCGAGCTGCGGACGGCCAGGGCCGAGCTCGCCGCTGCTCGCGGCAGTCGCCCCCAGCCCCCGGCGGAGGCCGACGTAGTCGGACTGCTGCGGGCGGAGTTGGCTGCCTTCCAGCGACGTTTTGACGTGCTGGAGGGCAGGCTCTTGCGCCCCCCACTCGCGGCGAGTCAGGTCGCCCCCGCGGTCCCGCGGTCGTACGCGGCCGCTGCGGCCAAGCCTTCGACCTCGGGTCAGGCTAGCCGCAGCTCCCAACCGCTGGCAAGGGCGCGACCGGCTGCCCCGCGAGGGCCTCGGCGCCCCCGCCGGCGCAGACCCCAGCTGCGCCGACGGCGCCAGCGCCCGCAGGGCGCAAGGAGAGGAGAGGCGCTCCAGCCCGGCAGGCTGGAGTTGCGGCAGCGGTGGTGGAACCCGCCCCGCGAGCGGAGGACGGCGGCGGGTGGCAAATCGCCGGCGAGGCGAGGAGAGTCGCCAAGGAGGGCCGGAAGCGCCGCAAAAAGGCGCAGCGGCAGCGACGGCAGCAGCAGCGCAGGGAGAAACGCGCTGCTGCCTTGCTCCTCGCCCCCAAGACCGCGGCTGTAGTGATTACGCTACAGCCCGAGGCGGTCAACAGGGGCGTTACATATGGCGACGTCCTCGCCAAATTAAAGGGGGCGGTATCTCCTGCGGAGTTCGGGGCCCCGACGGGTTCGCGGTCAAGGTGACCGCTACCGGAGCCCGTCTTTTGGAGGTCCCCGGCGCGACAGCGGCCCATCGGCCGACGCCCTGGCTGAAGGCTTAGGGCGTGCCTCGGTGCGGACGAGGCCCGCGTGTCCAGGCCACCAAATGCCTGGATGTCAGGATTTTGGGCCTGGACGACTCCGTCACGGAGAGTGAGGTGGTGGCCGCTGTGGCCAGGGCGGGAGGGTGCCCTGCTGACCAGGTCAGGCGGGCACATCCGTCCGGACAACTCGGGGCTGCGCACTGTGTGGTGAGCTGCCCCGTCACAGCGGCCAAGAAGCTGAAGGAGGGCAAAAGGCTCTTGGTGGGATGGGTCTCGGCGCAGGTCAAGCTGCTCGAGACCCGGCCTCTGAGGTGCTACGCTGCACGTGGGGAACACGTGAGTGTCAAATGCACCTCGGAGGTGGACCGCAGCGACTGTTGCTTCCGCTGCGGTCGGCCCGGTCACAAGGCCGGCTCGTGTACCGCCCCGCTGCACTGCAATGCATGTGCGGCGGCTGGCAAGCCGGCCAATCACCGGGTCGGGAGCAAGGGCTGCTCCCCTCCTGCCAAACCAAGGCAAAGGTAGGCCCTCCGCCGCCCCCGTCGTTTCCGCCGCCGCCGCCACTGCCGCCGCAGTCGCCGCTGCCGCCGCCACTGAGGAGGTCGGAATGGACTGCCAATAATGGCCCCATTCCGCCTCCTCCAGGCGAACATCAACCACTGCGCCGCTGCTCAGGATCTCCTGCTCCAGAGCATGGCGCAGTGGTCGATCAATGTCGCCGTGGTCTCCGAGCCGTACTTTGTCCTGCCCAGGGATCACTGGGTGGCGGACCTGGACGGCTCGGTGACCATCATCTCGTCGGCCGCCGCCGGTACCCCGACTCTTGAGGCTGCTCAAAGAGGCCGGGGTTGTGTCGCAGCACGGTTCGGAGAGCTCGCTGTGGTGGGCGTGTACTTCTCTCCGAACCGAACTCTCGCCGAGTTCCACAACTCCTTGAGGGAGTTGGTCACTGTCGTCGTCGGGTTCCGTTCCCTCCCCGTGCTCGTCCTCGGGGACTTCAACGCCAAAAACTTGGCTTGGGGTTCCCGGTTCACCGACGTCCGGGGTAGGATGGTGGAAGACTGGGCCCTTGAGACAGGCCTAGTCGTCCTGAACCGGGGTTCTGTCCCCACGTGTGTGCGGATGCAGGGCGAGTCGGTGGTGGACATCTCGTTCGCCAGCCCTGCTCTGTCACCGCGTATTGTTGGCTGGCGCGTCATGGAGGAGGTGGAGACGTACTCCGACCACCGGTATATCCGGTTCGACGTCTCCGCCGAGTCCGCAGACCCGCCGGTCAGACAGGCCCCATGTGGCCCGCGTTGGGCGCTGAAACAGCTGGACCGGGAGCTGCTCCTGGAAGCCGCCATCGTGCAGGCCTGGGTGATACCACCGGTCAGGCCTGCCGACGTTGACGATGAGGCCAAGTGGCTCCAGGACGCCATGTCCAGGATCTGTGACGTGGCGATGCCCCGGATCCGGTCGAGGCAACAGAAGCGCCAGGTGTACTGGTGGTCGCAAGAGCTGGCGGCTCTGCGCAAGGCGTGCACTACTGCGCGACGCCAGTACACTAGGCACCGCAGGCGCCGTATCCGTCCTCCTAATGCGGAGGCGAGAGAGGCGGAGTTATACGAGGGATACAGGGCGGCGAAGGCCCTCCTCAAGGCGGAGATATTGCGGGCCAAGGAGGAGGCCCGCCGAGAGATGCTGGGGACTCTGAATAGAGACCCGTGGGGACGCCCGTACCTGATGGTACGCGACAAGCTCCGTGCTTGGGCTCCCCCGCTCACTCAGAGTCTCCGGCCAGAAGTCTTGGAGGAGGTGATTGGCGCCCTGTTCCCCCGACTGTGGAGGGGCTTCACCCCTCCGTATATGACTCCGCCCCCTGCGGTGCCCGACGCGGGCTACAGCGACGACGACGATGACATCGTCCCAGAGGTGACCGAGGCAGAATTGAGAGCGGCGGTGCGCCGGATGGGCGCCAAGAACACCGCCCCAGGACCCGACGGCCTGCATGGCAAGGCATGGGTCCTGGCCTCAGAGGCTCTCGGGCCTCGATTGATTGGTCTCTACAGCGCATGTCTGGAGAGAGGCCAGTTCCCGCTTCTCTGGAAAGCGGGCAAACTGGTCCTCGTGCGGAAGACGGGGCGCCCTGCGGACTCTCCGTCCGCGTACCGGCCCATAGTGCTGCTCGACGAGGTGGGGAAAGTCTTCGAAAGAATCATTTCGAACCGCCTCGTCGCGCACCTGACGGACATTGGGCCGGACTTGTCGGACGGCCAGTTCGGCTTCCGCAGAGGGCGCTCCACGGTGGACGCCATCATGCGCGCGTTAGAGACCTCACGACGGGGACTGCAGTGTCCAGGGGTAAGGTCGTAGTGGCGGGTCTCTGGACATCGCCAACGCCTTCAACTCCCTGCCCTGGAGCTGCATCTTGGAGGCACTCCGATATCATCGGGTGCCTACCTACCTCCGTCGTGTAATCGAGGCTTACCTGACGGACAGGTCCGTCAGCTACCCCGGTCACCGGGGCGAGTGGAACCGGCGAGAGATGTCACGCGGTGTTCCACAGGGTTCGGTTCTGGGGCCGCTCCTGTGGAACATCGGCTATGACTGGGTGCTGCGCACCGACCTCCCGAACGGCGTTAGCACAATATGCTACGCCGACGACACGCTGGTGCTAGCGCACGGGAGGTCGCACCAGGCGGCGGCCGACTTAATGGCGACAGCGGTTGCGACAGTCGTTGAAAGAATCCGGCAGTTGGGACTCGAGGTGGCGCTCCACAAGTCCGAGGCCATGTGTTTTCATGGCCGCGGGAACGCGCCACCTCCGGGTGGGTCCCAAATAACGGCGGGAGGGGTTACCATCGGCGTCGAGACGGCGATGAAGTACCTAGGACTCGTCCTCG